TAATGACCCAGTTGTAAAATGAATCACTGCAGTTGTTGAGTTAGTCACACAGGATTCCAGCTCTGAGGTCCGAGCGGTCAAGCCAGGAAGCTGATCCGAAGGGAGACAGGCTGCCTTCTGGGCCAGCGTGGGAATCTCGCCAGGGCCCAGTGACTCCTCCAGTTCGTCTCCAGGGAAGGATGAGTGACGTCTCCAATTAGTTAAGGAGGGCAAGCGTCCCACTCTTCAAAAGAGGATTCTCAGATAGAAATTTTATAGAAAAGGTAGGTTCTCTGTCTGTCTGTCTGTCTTAAAGTTGCCAAGCTTGAGAAACACTGATGGCTCTCTCTCTCTCTCTCTCTCTCTCTCTCTCTCTCTCTCTCTCTCTCTCTCTCTCTCTCCCTCCCTCCCTCCCTCCCTCTCTCTCCCTCTCTCCCTCCCTCTCTCTCCCTCTCTCCCTCTCTCTCCCACCCTCTCTCTCTCTCCCTCTCTCCCTCCCTCTCTCTCTCTCCCTCCCTCTCTCTCTCCCTCTCTCTCTCTCTCTCTCTCTCTCTCTCCTCCCTCCCTCTCTCTCTCTCTCTCTCTCTCCTCCTCTCTCTCTCCCTCTCCTCTCTCCCTCTCTCCCTCCTCTCCTCTCTCTCTCTCTCTCTCTCTCTCTCTCCCTCCTCTCTCTCTCCCTCTCTCTCTCTCTCTCTCTCTCTTCCTCTCTCTCTCTCCCCCCCTCTCTCTCTCTCTCCCTCTCTCCCTCTCCCTCCCTCCCTCCCTCCCTCTCTTCTCCCAATCATCTGTCTGTCTGTCTGTCTACCATTATCATCTCTTTTTTGTATACCGCATCATCAATACAAAAACCACCTTCCCAACCTTTTCTCAACAAAGCCAACCCGGGCCGGTTATAAAACCAGCTGCGCCCGGACAGCAGAAGGTCAGCTTTCTCCGCCCTGCCTTGCAACGTCAGGCCACAAATGAAAACCTGATCTACGCATGCCACCCAAAAGCAGAGGATGATCTTGAGGTAGTGCAAACAAAGGAAGGAAGGAAGCAAAAGAGAGGCTTTCATCCAATAAATCAGGGGTCCCCAACCCACGGCCACGGCATGCCAGCAACCGGTCCGCACAAACAAGCAAAGCCCCATCGGTGGGATGCAGGCAGCACACAAAACCACGCACCCTCCCGTCCGCAGAAAAACCTCTCTCCATGGAACCGGTCCCTGGTGCCCAAAAGGTCGGAGACCTTTGCTCTAAAGGGGATTTCAGCTCCCTCCCCAGGGGGGACGGCAGCCCTGCTCAGGCCAAGAGAAAGAAGCCAGATTTCTGCTGGAGGAGCCTAAACCGAAGGCTGGGTAGGGAGAGTCCTCCGGCAGGAGAAGTCACCGTTGTGGAAATAATCAGAAACTGCCGTCCCAGGGCTGCAATATTTAGCCTATCTGCAAACTGGAATCTGTTACCCGGGTCCAACACAGCCCCATTTTACAGCAAGAGGGGGAACATGCTTAAAAAAAAAAAAAACTGAGGAGACGGGTGAAAAAAAAGACAGAAAATAAAATTACCAATGCACATTTTTCCTGTGGTTTCTCCTAGCTAAAGGAACGACATAATTTAACCCTTTGACTACTTTCCTGCTTGTTTTATAACTTGTGTGTTGCCGGGGTCACCTTACAGGGAGATGGGCAGCATAAAAATATGAATCAATCCATCAATCAATAATTGTAGAGGTCTTCCACCTGTGGCTAAGGTAGACAATTTTTTGAGGTTTCTGGAGGAAGCTTTCTGAAGTAATTTCAGATATTTTTGCCTTGCAATGGGGAGTGGAAGGCAACCTGTCCGACGGAGGTGATCACACCTAAAAATCTTTGACACACCCAACTGTGTCGGTATCCTGATATTCTGGAGAACTGAGATCAAAGGATAAAGACCCCGGGGGACAGTAATAGCCTGCCTCAGTTACCTGGAAGGACACATGGAAGTAATTTCACTTGTTGTCCATTGTTCAAGAGCGCAGAACTTAAATTTCAAGATTTAAGCATCTACCGGGGATGTTTTGATTTAAAATCCTGGGCCAGTGATGGCGAATCTTTTAGAGACCGAGTGCCCAAACTGCAACCCAAAACCCACTTATGTATCGTTGGGTGCCGGATGGGTATGGCCCATTGGCTGGGTGTGGCCCATTGGGTGGGCGTGGCTGCGGTGGTAACGGCAGGCTGGGTGGGACTAAAAAGTTCAATCAATTCCAACTTTGCAAGATCTTTTTTTTCCCCGCGAGAAGTTGAAATTGACTGATTGAACCTTTTTTTTTTTTTGCACACAGCAGCGGAGGCCTAAAGCAAAAAGGTTTTATAAAACCCAGCTGAAGACCTAGGACTGGAGTGACGGCGCGCGTGCCCACAGAGAGGGCTCTGAGTACCGCCTCTGGTACCCGTGCCATAGGTTCACCACCCTGGCTGACCAGGGTGCCCTAAACTTAAGGATTCTACTAATTGGGACCCAAGTTAATTTATGTATTTGTATCCTGCCTTTTATATTTTTACAAACCACTCAGGGTGGCAAACATATCCAACACAACTTCCTCCTCCTAATTTCCCAACAGCAACAACTCTGTGAGGTGGGTTGGGCTGACAAAGAGTTGGCTTTCGGGCCTAAGACGGAGTTGAATTCACCATCTCCAGCTTTTGAGCCCCCGTACCTTAGCCAGTAGACGTGGGTTCAACCTTAGCAACATGAAGACTTGTGGACTTCAACTCCCAGAATTCCCCAGCCACCTATAGGAATTGTGGGAGTCTTCACGTTGCCAAGGTTGGGCACCCTTTCATTAGAGCAAGTCAAGACTACACTTTTGACTCCTTCTCAAGTAGGAATTTCATGATGCTTTTACCTCACTAATTCAACTTAACAGTCAACAATCAAGTAGCCGAATAGGAAATCTAGTACCTTTTTTAGCAGACATGGAGCAAGTATTCTGAAATTCTACCCATTTTCAGCTGAGGGGATTGCTCCACAGCTTCCAAATAAGTTAGAGAAGTGGACCAGAAACATAGAGGGAAACGTCACAGAGACAAATACAACGTAGACGACCGATTAAATGGAGAGGACTGTCCAGGAAAGACACTGGAATGGTGGACAGCATTAGCTGAAGAAGAAGCAGCTTCCAAGTCATGGGAACTAACTGCGCCCATTGATTCTGTGTTCATGTTGGGTTTGTTAAACTGCATGAAAAAAAGCTGAACCTAATTCTGGACACCAAAGTTTGAGGGAGGTTAAGACCGAAGCATTCCCAGTTGCAATGTATGGCTGTGAAAATTGGACCATAAGAAAGGCTGAGCGCCAAAGAATGGAGGCCTTGGAACTCTGGTGCTGGAGAAGACTCCTGCGAGTCCCCTGGACTGCCAGGCAATCCAACCAGTAAGTCCTAGAGGAGATCAACCCCAACTGCTCTCTAGAAGGCCAGATCCTGAAGTTGAATCTCAAGTCCTTTGGCCACCTAATGAGAAAGAAGGACTCACTGGAGAAGAGCCTGATGCTGGGAAAGATGGAGGGCAAGAGAAGAAGGGGATGACAGAGAAGGAGGTGGCTGGATGGAGTCCCTTAAGCAGCAGGCATGAGCTTCAATGGACTCCAGGAGATGGTAGAGGACAGGAAGGCCTGGAGGAATGTGGTCCATGGGGTCACGATGGATCGGACATGACTTCACAACTAACACAACAACAAAGACCGAAGAAGGTTCTGGAACCCAGACACCAGACTAGGACAAAAATCTGATGAAAAGAGCTGGTGGGGACCAAGTACGTGTAAAATGGAGATGACGATGACGATGGCCATGATCATTTGACTTGAAGGGTCCAACCAAGAATGCCAGGTCTGACCACAACAGAGAACCCCTTGGAGCAGGTCAAGCATCTCTTGGGGACACTTTCAGACATTGAGGTAGGGTCTCATTTTTGGGACTCAGTCGTCATTTGGAGCGTCCGTCCAAATTCAGAGTAGGGCTTCTTCATTGCATGAAAAGATCAGGGCTCTTCATCTGGCTTTTCCAGGAAGCGCCACCCCTCCCTCCTGCACGGGGATGGTGCCCCTCTGGTTTTGAAGGGCCCCCTCCTTTAAACTCCTTGGCCGTGAAGGGGAAGGCGCGGGACGGAGGAATGGAAAGAGAAGGGAGCCGACCCACTCCGGGCAGGTTGAGGAAGGCTTGGGCCCCCCCTTCCCCACAGCCGATGGGGCACATTCAGCATGCACGCCCATGTCGGCCTTAGAAACCGGTGGCACTGCATCATCGTGGCAGCTGGGACAAAGCCGGGTGTCTTTCATTAACAAAGATGGTTTAAATGAGAAAGGGCATCAGTCATTGCATCTCGGCTTCATTCAGGCTTTCTCTCCTGCCCGATCCATCTGCGCTGCCAAGGGGTGACATAAGCCAGGCCCCTCTGCCTGGGACGCCCCACACGCAGACTGGCACAGCCTGCCTTCCCCACAAAGGCCTCCGCTGCTCCCATGGGAGTTTGCCAACCCCGGAGGCTGCCTATTCCCCACCCCGACAGCCAAGGTGTCCCTCCTGAACCGTGGGTGGAGCGTTCCTTCACGAAGAGGCCCTTTCTGGAGGGTGCGTGTGCGAGGAACGCCAGTCCCGCCAGACCCACCCCTTTCTCACCCACGCAACAGGAGGCAAAGTGTTTCCCCAAGCAACCTGGGCAGACAGAAGCCGAAGGGAGGAGGCCAACGGGCTTCTTCCGGCATCGTGGCAGAGCCCACCACCACTCAACGCATCCCGCCCGGGATCACCGGTCCTGGCGCTCAGCAGGCCACCCACTTCTGCTGGCTTCCTTCTGTCCTTGGCACAAGAAAGCCAACCCAGAAACGGTGGCCACCAACGTGAGGGCTACTGAGGGGAGGATGGCCGATAGGAAGAGGGGTCCCTGGCCTGGCGCCCCAGCCCTGCCCCACCTCCTCCCCCTCCCTTCCTCCCTGAAGACCTGATGGTCTTTAGTCACACATCTTAAAAGAAGCACAAAATGGAGCAACACAAAGGCCTACTTGTCTCAAGTCGATGAAGGCCAGCAGCAGCGTGTCCCCTTGGAACCCAGGCACCGGCCCGGATCTGGCAAACTCTGTGGGAAAGAAGAGGGGATGAAAAGCACTTTTAACTCACCATGGACAGGGAGATTGGCAGACGGATGACAGCGGAGACAACGGGGGCCGGGGGGGAGGAGCGCCCCACTTCTAAGGAGTCAGGTCCCCCTCCCCGCCTGCTTTTTGTTCACCCTTCAAAATTTGTGTCATCAAAACGCCATTAATTCCCCCGTCCTGACAGCGAGGAAACTGTACTAATTTGACCTGAAATTTATTCCCATGAGCCTCGCTGGGCTTTCGGAGTATTTGTTTTGTGAGCGGACAAACAATTGGCAAAGAAGAAAAGCATTTGGGAGATGGGAGGGAAATGGGGAGGGGGTCTCCGATGGAAAAACTTCTCCTCCCGACACAATCAAATCTTCAGCTGTGTGTGAAATCCTTTTCAGTTCCGAAAGCTATTTATATTTGGGGGCACTCAAGGAATTTTCTAATTTCATGCCTGTCACCGTGATCCAGGCCCATTTGTCAAAAATAAATAAACCAAGCTGCTCCATTAATTATGGTGCCGCAAAGGAGCCTCTCCAGCAGATATGATATCCTTGGACAAAGAATGGAAAATGTGAAGAACTTCCCTCCTTGTGGAGAATATCAATTATTCTGAAGGGGGCCAGTTTAGCGACAGCTGAGAAGAAGGAGCATGGAGGGAAGGTGGTCCCCAGGGAGAGGGAGGCTCGCCTCTCGGAGGCGGCTGTCTAAAGCAGTTGACCGGGGGATAGCGGTGCAAAGCAGCCCCCTTCCCCATCCTGTGCTGAGTAGGGGCTACGCAAGTTGTGGTCCAACTGGAATCCATGGAAGACGTTGGGGAAAGCTGGTTGGAACCAAACAACACAGAGGAGACGAAGGTGGGACCCAAGGTCTTCCTGAACTGGATGCTGAAGGGAAGCACCACCGTCTTCCTCCATCTTGTTTCAGCCAGTGGGATAAGCCAGAAGTGCTTTCTCCCGGAACTGCTCCCCCCCACCCCCCCACCCCCCAGTTGGCCAACAGGCCATCAGGAAAGCTCTGGTTTTACTGTCCAAATGAGTTGCTGGCCACATGATTCTCCAGCATCATCAAGTCAAGAGGCTGAAGAAATATACCAGTGTTTCCCAAACTTGATAATTTTAAGGCATATGGACTTCAACTCCCAGAATTCCACAGCCAGCATTGCTGGCTGTGGAATTCTGGGAGTTGAAGTCCACATGCCTTAAAATTGTCAAGTTTGGGAAACACTGAAATACACAAAGTTGGGTCAGGAGTTCCCTCGCCTTAAAAGACCCAGGTGGGCATCCTGGAGGCCAAGCGGGCAAGGCAACTTCGTTAAGAAGGGCCCACAGGACATGCCAGAGCAGAAGAAGAAGAATTCAGCTTCTTGCAGTCCCCTCAGGGTCTGACCATGATGGTCCCTTCGTGACAGAAGAGACGTTTGAGAAGCCCACCTTGAATTGTTTAGCCACTCCCTGAGAACCAGCTATGAATTTTCCATTATTGACATTTAAACTCCAGTCAACCTTTAACAGAGGACTAATATTCATTATTTGGCTGGGTAACTCTCTTCCTCCTAAAGGAGCTTCAAGAGACGCTGGAGGCGCCGAGTTCCAGTCCCATCTCAGGGACAAAGGCAGCTGGGTTACCTTGGCCCAGACACCTGCTCTCAGCCCTGGGAAGCAACCCCAGGACAGACCCAGCACTTGACCCCCAACGGCCGTGGCCACGCGGGAAATGTCTGTTTTGGAGGAAATCTACATGGTCGCCAGGAGTATCAGCCAAACTACAGCATCACAGAGTTGAAAGAGCCTCTGGACGTCTTCTGCTCCAGCTCCTGCTCAAAGATCTCATTCAGACAAAGGACTGTCCAGTCTCTTCTTCAAAAACCTCCAGGGATGGAGCACCCACAACTTCTGAAGGCAAATCGTTCTGCTGGTCGATCATTCTCACTGTCGGGAAATCCCTCCTTAAGTCTAAGCTGGATTTCTCTTTTAAAATCTTAAGAATCCTTAAAACTCTTTAGGAGGCCCGTCACGAGCCGTCCTTCCCTCCACAGCCAGATGTGCTGAGCGCCGATCCTAAATCACCTCTTGGCTGAACTTCCCCTGGACGGCTCTTTGGCGGGTGGCTTTATGACTTTCCCTGCAGCTTAATTGGGGGGCTCTTGTTTTGGAGCGCAGCTGCACTCTCAGGACTGTAACCGGAGGGAAGTTCCTTGACCGTGGCAGGCAAAACGACGTTACCATCCATCCATCCATCCCCAGATCGTCCTTAACGGTCTAATGACCAAATAATGAAGACGTTGCCCAAACGTCCCCGAGGTGCTTTTTCAAAAGGCAACTGGACTTCTTTCTTGGATTTTTTTTTTCTTAAAAAAATTTCGCTTCTCGTCCAAGGAACTTCTTCAGTTCTTCTTCAGTGAAGAAGCTTCTTGGATGAGAAATGAAACGTTTTCAAGGAAAAAAACCAGGAAAGGCCGGTTGCCTTTTGGAAAAAGCACCTTTGGCACAAGCGGGACCCTGGATGGCCGAGAATCTCCACAGATGTGTTGTCCAAACCTTGAACGTGGAGAATGACTCAGAGCAAGAAGGCTGCTTCATGGTACTTAGCCCCGTAACTGGAATAGTTCCTGCTAAGGCACAAAGTCCACCAAGTCTGGTGACCTTCCAGGCCACAATTAGGAAGGGTGATCAAAAACCAGCTCCCCTTCCCAGTTCCAGGATTGCCTATCTTCCTTTTCCTCCTCCTTCTTCCTCCCCTTCCTCTCTTCTTCTCTCTTGTCCCCCCCTCCTCCTCCTCTTCCTCTGTCCTATGCCTGTTCTTATTATATTGTTTCTTTTCTGTTTAGTGTCTTGTAAGCCTCCCAGCCTCACATGGCACCAAATGGAACAGAATAAATAAAAATACGATCCCATCTCCTCCTCCTCCTCCTAGAAAAACCATACAATTTATCTTAAGCAGGTCCATCCAGATTTATGCAATTAATTTATTTATATACTGATGTAATCTCCATGGACTCCTGGCAGTTTACATCAGCGAAAACAATAATAAACAAAATTAAAACTCTGAAAATACCAAACATTCATCAGACGAGGAACAGATGGAACCACTCAGCACCCCCCCCCAAATGGCTTCGGGCACGACCCCGTTTTTACGAGGGTCCAAAGGGCCTTCAGGTGGGCACCAGCCCAGCCTCGGAGGCAGCAGCCCCAAAGGCCCGGTAAGACCCAGTGCCTGCCTCTGCCGCCCTCATCTCCTCACCGTGGGAACCTGGGCGCCTGGATCCTACCCAGGGAGGGGTTAAAACTAGTGCCATTGGCCTTGGTGTATCCCCGAAGCCGTTATGAAAGAGCTTGATGTAGACACCTCATTAAAAAAAAGTGAAATACTGGAAAGTCAATGAGCAATTATGAAAAGGCTCCACGGTCAACAAGGCTTCTGTTCAAGAGATCAAGCACCGAATTCCATTTCAATTCACTTTTGTGGAGATTCTGAGATTTGAGGCCTTAAGATCATTTAGACCCCCTTTTTTATGACTTTGTACTTCTGATTTTGTTCCCTCGACCCCTGAAGTGGTAAAAGAGGAAGGAGGAAGAGAAGAGTTGAGTAGCACAGATAATCTTTCATGGGTGTGAAAGAAGAGTCTGTTGCGTTTCCTCTGCCTTGACATGGTCTAGGCCAGAGGTAGGCCACCTTGGCTCTTTTATGCCTGGTGGACTTCAACTCCCAGAATTCCTGAGCCAGCCATGCTGAGGGGAAAGGGAGAGGTTTCCAAGCTGAGCCAGGCTGGCTCAGGAATTCTGGGAGTTGAAGCCCGCGAGTCATAAAGCGGCCTAGGCCTAGGCCAGAGGTAGGCAACCTTGGCTCTTTTATGGCTTGTGGACTTCAACTCCCAGAATTCCTGAGCCAGCCATGCTGAGGGGAAAGGGAGAGGTTTCCAAGCTGAGCCATGCTGACTGAGGAATTCTGGGAATTGAAGTCCACACGTCATGAAGGGGCCATAGTTCCCCCATACTGGCTGAGGAATTCTGGGAGTTGAAGTCCACGAGCCATAAAAGAGCCAAGGTTGCCTACCCCTGGTCTATGGACTAATCCAGAACATTCTTCCCAGTTTGGGGCAGAATCAGGGATCCCCCTTGGAGCTGAACCTGGAGGAGGAAGTTGCCTCACAGATTCTCCATCTCTGAAACACTCCAGTCTAGGTTTGACTGATGGTCCACATGAGGAATTTCTGAGATCTTCCTAGAGCAGTTTGCAGACAGTGGCTACCTCTGCAACCCCCCCCCCCAGCCTTTTCAGGGGGTCCAAGGCTTCCCTTTCCCCTCGATGCTGATGCCTCCTGCCTTCACTGTCTACAGGGAAGAGAGGGCAGCAGCTTGTCAACGAGGAAGGCAGATTCAATTAACGACCGTGTTGCTAACTTAACAACGGCAGTGATTTCGCTTAACCAATGTGGCAAGAGAGCTCGTAAAATGGGGCAAAACCCACTTTGCAAATTTCTCACTTAGCAACACAAATTTGGGGCTCAATTGTGGTCGTAAGTCGAGAACTATCTGTACGTAAAAAAACTGCTGTGAATTCCAGTGCACTGTGAGGTAAAAGAAGGCAACTTTACGATTGGTGGACTTCAATTCCCAGAATCCCTCAGCCAGCTACGGGGAAAGAGGCATGAGAAGGTCAGGGTGTTTCTCCGACGTTTTCCTCCTCCGTCTCCAACCCAGGCTCACTCAACGAGCTAATTTGGGGGTCCCAAAGGTGCTTTTTCAAAAGGCCACTGAACTTTTCTTTGTTTTTTTCCTTGAAGAGGTTTCGCTTCTCATCCAAGAAGCTTCTTCAGTTCTTTGGTTCGGTTTGGTTCGGTTCGTCAGAACTGAAGAAGCTTCTTGGATGAGAAGCGAAACCTCTTCTTCAAGGAAAAAGAAAAAAGAAAAGTCGAGCCCAGTTGCCTTTTGGAATAAAAGCAGCTCTGGAACTGGATGACTGAGAACCTCCATAGACACAAATGTGGGGGTCTTTTGACATAATGTCCTCCCAGGCCACTCTGGTGAAGAGTTGGGAGGTGGAAATTATAACCTTTTGGGGGGGGGGGGCCCTAGGAATCACAGTGGCGACCTTCTAGGAAATTACTGCACTGAGCTGAAAAGGCAGGAGGGCCAATCCAGAAAGCTCTCCCTGATGCCAGCCTGTTCCTACTCTCTCAGTTCAACCTTTGCACCTGGCAGTTGTCTTAGGAGAGCATGACTTCTGACTCCCCAACCAGCTTCCTTCTAGAAGACTCTGTTGCCCATCTTCAGGCTAGTTATAGCCCAGGAGGAATCATAGCTCCCCTTCTGAAGGAGAGATTGACGGAGGAGCTGAACGGTCGGGAAGAAATAAAGAAATAAGCGCAGCCACTTTGCCGTATCCCAAGGCTTTCACCAAAATTCAGCCCTGGACTTGGAAGTTCCCCTGTTTTACATTTTGGAGTGTGTTAGAAGCCCTCTGGGAATTGTCCTTCTCCATTTCTCTGCTACCAGCTAATATTGGCCTCATCCGGTTATTGGGCTCCTCCCCAAGGCAAGCGGGTATAACTATATTATGTAAAAAAAGATGCTGAGACTCTAGAAAGAGTGCAGAGAAGAGCAATGAAGCGGATCAGCGGACTGGAGGCTAAAACATATGAAGAACGGCGGCTGGAATTGGGTATGTCTGGTTTAAGTAAAAGAAGGACCACAAGTGACAGGATAGCAGTCTTCCAATTTCAGAGGGGCTGCCCCAAAGAAGAGGGAGTCAAGCTATTCTTCAAAGCCCCTGAAGGCAGGACAAGAACAACAGATGGAAACTAGTCAAGGAGAAAACCAACCTAGAAATAAAGAGAAACTTCCTGACAGTGAGAACAATTCACCAGTGGAACCTCCAGCCTCCAGAAGTTGTAGGTGCTCCGTTACTGAAGGCTTTTAAGAAGAGACTGGACAGTCATTTGTCTCAAACGGTATAGGGTCTCCTGCTTGAGCAGAGGTTGGACTAGAAGATCTCCAAGATCCCTTCCTATCCTGTTATTATGTGTTGAGGACCCACCACCTCCAGCTCCAGACCCCGAGCGAGCGGCAGCCTTACGTTCGCACTCTGCCACGTCCAGGCTGAACTGCTGCAAGGCACCCAGGGACAGCTGTCGGACTTCGGCTTCCAGGAGCTGCTGCATCAGCGAGGTGGACAGGTGCTTGCAGGCGGACATGCAGGCGGTCTGCGCTACCTTGCCCTGGAAAGCAAAGAGAGAGGCCTCCAGGTGAGTCTCAGAGCAGGAGGAAGAGCCGGCAGCGCACCTGCGCCCGGCAGCCCCTTTTTCTCAGGCCACTTCCCCACACACCATTCGTCCCCCGTCTGCACCTCGTGCGTGTTCCCCAACTGAAACAACCCACCACAACGGGCCCCTCAGAACAGACGGGAAATAACACAAAACCAGCCTCAAGACTTAAAATTGCCGTGAGAAGGATAAAGACGTTCCTGTCAACCTGTTCCTTGAAAGGCTATAGAAGCTCTCTTTAAACGCAGCTCCCGTCTCAAGCCGTCTCCGTTAACAGCACTCAGAGAATTGGGGGACTTAAAAATTGGGGCACACAAGTCAGTGTCTCCAATCGCATTTGGATATTTCTGCCTTTACCTTGCTGCCTCTACATCAGTGATTCTCAACCTGTGGGTCGGGACCCCATTTGGGGTCGAACGACCATTTCACGGGGGTCGCCAAACAAGGCTGTCCGCCATTTTTTTCCCCTTTTCCTTAGCTGTGCTACTCCCTTCTATTGGCTTTTGAAAGCCAATAGGATAGACTCTCTTGAATAGAGTCTAATTCTATTGGCTTTCAAAAGCCAACAGGAATTGTCCAGGCTGTCTCTGCCCTGATGAGCCCACCAAAAGTCCCATTCTGCAAACGGTGCTGCACCAGTTGAGTAGTCCTCGACTTACGACCGGTTGAGTAGTCCTCGACTTACAACCGGTTGGGGGTCGTGGCATTAAAAAGGTTGAGAACCACTGCTCTACATTTTATGTGCTCCAGTCTCTACATTTACAGGCTCCTCTGCTAAGAGTCAGGACGATACACAAGAGCAACGGTGCCCCCGTGAAAGCTGCCTGCACTCCTTGTGTCCAAAGGGATCTGAAAATAGCCAAAATAATTCAAAAGCCCCGGAAGACAGAAAGACCGGTTGTCGGGAAGAGCCCCACCATGCAGGTCAAGGTCAGGCTGCAGTGGGTGCCGGCTGTGTGAAACTACAAGGGCACCGAAGTGACTTAGGATCGTTTTTCACACTTATGACCATTGCGGCCTCCCCATGGCCAAATGATCAAAAGTCAGACGCTTGGCAGCTCTCACATTTACGATGGTCGCAGCGTCCCAGGGGGGTCACGTCACCCCCTTCTGTGACCTTCTGACAAGCAAAGTTCATTTAATGCGTTACCAACTTAACAACTGCAGTGATTCATTTAACAACTGTTGCAAGAAAGGCTGTAAAATGGGGTCAAATTCATTTAACAACTGGGCTCGATTGTGGTCGTAAGCCGAGGACTGGCTTTTACTTCCATTTTCATAGTGTAAAGTCTGATGCAAGCCAGGTGGGAATCTCTCTCTCACACACACACTGAGTTGAAGTCCACAAGTCTTCAAGTTGTCAAGATTGGACACCTCTGATCTAAATGGAATCAAATCTTCCAAGATTCAGAACCATCTTCACTCCAAAAGGTGCTTTTTCTTTGAAGACGTTTCACTTCTCATCCCAGAAGCTTCTTCAGTTCTTCCTGAATGGTGGAGGGTGGAAGGATTTACACTCCTTGCAGTTCTCCGGCCCTTAGCCCTCTTCCTCTGAGAGTTGTTGAAGCCCCTTGGGGGTTTATCTGTGCCCTCGGGGTCACCTAAGTGGTGCAAATGGGTGTCAAATGGGTGTGGAACCCAGGTTAACCTTCAGGTGGTCTCAACGACTTTCAGAGAGAGTATTAACGACCAGAGGACTGCAAGGGATGTAAATCCTTCCATTCCCCACCATTCAGGCAGAACTGAAGAAGCTTCTTGGATGAGAAGCGAAACTTCTTCAAGGAAAAAAAACAAGGAAGTCCAGTTGCCTTTTGGAAAAGCGTGTTTAGGGCAACCAGGACCCTGGATGATGGAGAATCTCCACAGGTACTTTCATTCTGCCTTCAGAGTCCAGTCGCAGGTATTTTTGGAGGCGAGGAACCTGAGCGGAAGCCAGACAGTCTTGCCTGATCAGCTGAACTCTCCCTGTTGCTTGCTACAGATAAATCTTTCGGGATTAATTGTGAAGCCTTGGGGGAAATTATGGGGAGGGAGAGGCAGCTGCCAAGGAAAACTATCCAGGCTGAGAATCCAAAGAGAGAACACAGAAAGCAAGTGCAAGAGAGATAAAAAAAACTGGGTGAGGCTGATTACATTTCTACAAAAAAAAAGACGGGAATTCCTATTTTTCCTGTGGTTAAAAACAGCAGAGTGGAGAGAGAGAGAATAATGAGAATAGAAATAGAAAGAGTGCAGAGAAGAGCAACAAAGATGATTAGGGGACTGGAGGCTAAAACATATAAGGAACGGTTGCTGGAATTGGGGATGTCCAGTTTAATGAAGAGAAGGACGAGGGGGGACATGATAACAGTTCCAGTATCTCAGGGGCTGCCCCAAAAAAGAGGCAGTCAAGCTATTCTCCAAAGCCCCTGAAGGCAGGACAAGAAGCAACGGGTGGAAACTCACCAAGGAGAGAAGCAACCTAGAACTAAGGAGGAATTTCCTGACAGAACAATTAACCAGTGGAACCATCTGCCTCCAGAGGTTGTGAATGCTCCAATGCTGGAAGTCTTTAAGAAGAGACTGGACAGCCATTTGTCCGAAATGGTATGGGGTTTGCTACCTGAGCAGGGGGTTGGACTAGATGACCTCCAAGGTCCTTTCCAACTTTACAATTATTATTATTATTACTATTGCTATTACTACTACTACTACTACTATTATTATTATTATTATTATTAGAATTAGAATTGGAACGAGAACGAGAACAAGGAACGGTCAAGTCTACTGAAGCCAGAACTGGAGGCTAGAGCTACGAAGGAGAAGGAAGATGGCCAGACCCCGGAGAATGACCTTGGGAGTGTCCTGTGAAAGATGGAGAGTCCAGAGCTTCCATTGGGAGCTCACTTTCACTTAGAAAACCTGCCTTTCAAGGGAGCAGCCATGTTGGTATTCATGCGGTTAAAAAGCCCAAAGCCATCGTCATCACCAAAACGCTGGGGGCCCTCAGTCCACCTCTTCAGGTCTACGGGTCGAAATCTTGAGAATACGAGGCTTCCGGTTTCTGCAGCCCAAACGACACAAAGGCCAGCTGATCTACTATCCTAGGAATGAGGTCAGCTGGAAGCTTCCAAGACAGGAGCGGCTCCCAAAGGCGGAATCGTGAATCAAAAAGATGCTGAAACGGTCGAAAGAGCGCAACTAAGGAGAAATTGGCTGACGGGGAAAACAATGAACCAGCGTAACATCTCGCCTCCCGAAGTTGTAGTTGCTCCAGTGCTGACGGTTTTTAAGAAGAGAGTGGACAGCCATTTGTCTGAAATGCTTTAGGATCTCCTGCTGTTGGACTAGGAAACCTCCAGGGTCTTTTCCTACTCTTCTGTGGTTCTGTTATTCAGTCTTCCCTGCAGCAGCACAAAACCCCTCAGCTCCCTTTCTTACTTCACTCCCAGTTTCCCAGGATGGTCAACACTCAAGGTCCCAGTTCAGCGATTCCCAAGGGTCCGCTTCTCTCTCTGATGGACCCAGCAAGAGGCCCCCAGAAAGGAGAATTTAGGCTTTCTTCTGAGAAGGTGCCTTGCTGGCCGTCCGGCGGAGAAGGCCAAAGGCGGCATGAGGGGGGCAACAGCGACTTAAGCAAAAGGCTGAAGCTGCAGTCTGCGGTGTGTTTGGGAAGACCCTTCAACAAACAGGAGTATCTTGATTGGAAAATACATGCAGAGCAAAAGGGGGCTGTGACCAGAGGTCTGGCCTGCCAAACCACATACACACACACACCACACACAGCCTGGTGCTCCTCTAGACAAGGCCATCTTCACATCCCCCACGTGAAGTTCTGGACCACAGCAGGCCCCGTTTTCTTGGGAAAAGGGTCACAAAATGTAGTTGAGGCTTCCAACTGTGGAACAAGGCACACCACTGCTGTTCTGGAATCCAAGCCTTTGAAGTCTATTTTTAATGCTAATGAAGCCCTGGGGCCAAAAACAACCCCCCTTTTCATTATCCTTCCAGCTTACAATGTTTTGGATGAAGGAAAGTTTCTCCTCTTTGCCAGGTAAAATTAGTGCTTTATTCTAAATAGACATAATGCCTTCTCATCCCCAAAAGCCGGGCAGGATAATAAAGGGAGCAATTTCAAAAGGAGAAAAGAAAACCACAATTCTTTATTCTACTCTAGTGAGAGGAATCAACAGAAGGACTGAATAATCCAGGAAAGGGCTGCACAAGGCTGATCTGGCACCCCCCAAAAATAAAAGAGAGAGAACTCCTGAAATTCAGGACACGTTTGGACAAGACTTGCAATCCGCGCTGGAGGAGAAATTCTTCAGGGTGCCATCACCACCAGAGAGGTCCACCAAATGCTGGTCCCTCATTCTGTTCACCGACTACAACATTTGTGATGTATATCATATGTTTCAGGAGATCCACTAAGGGGGGTGATGGCAGCCACTCCAGTACTCTCGTTTAGTCTAGAGCAGTGTTTCTCAACCTTGACAATTTTAAGGCATGTGGACTTCAACTCCCAGAATTCCACAGCCAGCAATGCTGGCTGTGGAATTCTGAGAGTTGAAGTCCACATGCCTTAAAATTGTCAAGGTTGAGAAACACTGGTCTAGAGACATTTTGCTTCTAGAAATGAAGACCATTGCCCCATTTCTCCACGAAGAGCCCAACAGCTGTTGACTCGCTCTTCAACACTCATCCGGGGACCTCATTTGGCACCGTACTTAACCGAACAGAACCACAGAGTAGGAAGGGAGCTTGGGGGTCCTCTAGTCAAACAGGAGACCCTCTACCACAGGGGTCTTCAAACTTGGCCCTTTGATGATTTGTGGACTTCAACTCCCAGAATTCCTCAGCCAGCGATGTCTCTAGTCTAGGAGTCTTCAAACATGGCCCTTTGATGACTTGTGGACTTCAATTCCCAGAATTCCTCAGCCAGCGATGTCTCTAGTCTAGGAGTCTTCAAACTTGGT